CGGATTCGGTTGTCACCCTGGCAAAATTTTCAAGTATTCTGGATTTTTTGAAAAACCTACTTTTGCGAACTAGAACTATTCTCTGGAAAGCGAATATCAATAATTATCAAAAAAAGCTGTACTTTCAACTCTACGTCGCAAAGGGACGCCAAAACGTTCAAAAGGGGCAGGGCCGCTTTTACTAAAACGGCTATACTGTAACTTTTGACCGGAATGAGATATCTTCACCAAATTCACAACACGTATGTAAGATCTGAGGTCACATGAAAAACATTGTGGAGTTTGGCCACTTAGTGGCGCTATAAGAGGGAAAGAAAACTAAAAAGGGCCCTAACTACGCAACCATTTGTCCTATTAACATGAAAATCAGTCTTGGTCCAAAATGCTATAAGGACTCTTTATAGCATAGTGTCTATAAGGACATTTGTGTACCTCAAAAAACATGGCCGCCATTGGCCGATGAACTTTGAGCACCTATTAGACAAGGTTAACAGGCCGATCTGAACAAATCTCGGTGGGTTTGACTGGGTCTGTGATAAATTTGAAAGAAATCGGCCACTGGGGGACGATATCGTATTTTCAAGGGTGTACACGATTGTATATTGTGCGGTTTTTCACACATAAACACAATATATTCGCATCATACAATAGACCTCCTCATTCTGAACAACTTTGCCTCTAGTACCACTGCTGTCAATCAAATCGTTTGTTAAATGATGGACAGGTTGTAAAAAACCTTATACGCTCAATCTGGAAAAAAAAACCCCTGCTGTACAATTCTCTGGACTCTCAAGGTCAATAATTATAAAAAAGGTTGAAATTTACCCTAGGGAAGCTTTACCGGAGTCATTTATAAAAGGGGCCTGGCCAAATATACTCAAATGCCTATAAAACCTAAATGAAAACTCAAAACTTCATGAAACCTGGGGCCTGTTTCATAAAACAAGTTGACCAAATAAGCCAGGCTTATTTCAGTTAGTCTGACTTATTTTCAACCAAATCAACTGACAATAAGTCAGACTAACTGAAATAAACCTGGCTTATTTGGTGAACTTGTTTTATGAAACAGGCCCCTGGTGAGCACATGCCACAGATGATTCTAAACAAGCATGCAAAGTTCTAGGGAGATCGAACCACAGCTGATGCTATAACATATTTCTATGGTAAATTGCCTGGATTTGCCAAACTGCTTTTTTAAATCATTGATTTAGGTGGTTACAGGCTTGCTAAATAATATGTAATGTATTTTTCCTTATGTGCTTAAATGCCTTAAAGCGCTTGAACCCCAGTAATCGCTGCTTGCAGCTATATTTATTTTTATTATTATTTTATAAAAAACTACATCATATCAGCTACACATTCAACACTTGCCTCCTAAAAGTGAATAAAGATATCTGGCAGATATCATTACAATATTTGCAGAGGTATTAATTAAAAAATAAACATTTACAGATGATATTTTCATTAATTTTTTATTTCAATTCATGTAAAAGTCATTATTTTTAAACAAACTTTAAAAATGTAAATTCATCTTTTTTTAAATGTAAAAAAAAATGAATTTACGTTTATCCTGAGCTGTGGTTAATTTTTTAACAAATGAATTTTGAGGTTACCAGTAATTTAGAACAATATTTACTTGTATAAACATACCTGTGGCTACAGACACACTGAGAGATTCTACTCCAGGGTGCAGGTTTCTGCGTGGAGGGATGGTGAGCAGGACGTCACACATCTGACTCAGTTCTGGAGAAAGACCGTCACCCTCTCCACCTGATAGCACACACAGAGACAGACCAGTGTAACGCAAAGAGAACACAACAATTATGAGTCTAAATCTGTTTCAACACACACTTGCTGTTACCCATTAACAGTAGTGTAGGTCTGGACATCTTGAAATCTGAACATGGCATAACTGTGAATTCAGGACTGCATTCCTCTAACCCAACAGTACCAACTACTTGCCAACCTTCTTCCGCTTTCACCTATAATATTAAGAAAAATTTGTTTATAGCTATTAAACAATGGAAGTCCTGATGATTAAGTATGAGATGTATTTCTCAAAAGAACTAGGCAGACACCGTCTAACCTCAACAGTTTTCTTAAACTGCCCTCTACAGGCTACAGATGGGATTTTCCATTCACTATAATTAAAAAAGCTTATTTTATTAGGAAAACCTGTTTCATAACTCAATTAAGTCACAAAAACAACAAAGGAAGGATGTTCTATTTTGTCTTACTTTTGACAACATTTCAAACATTTATTTTTGCTTAATTTCATCTGCATTTCTTTCTTTTTTTCACTTAAGTTTTTTTCTTCTGTTTTGATAAGTATGATGCTCCCCTTGTAAATTAGCCCCTTCCTGAAATATAAGCTATACATTTTAATGTAATATCAAAATATATGTTAGAAAAATTGTGGTAGCATAAAAGTTTATTATTTATGCTTTTGCAGTGTCACTGTATTTTTTTTAAACAAAACTATTTACCGTTTTGTTTTTATTTGTTACCTTGAAACATAATTTTATGGGACTTCTTTCTGATTTTTTTTGGCCCAAAATGAAATGAGCTTTTCTTAATAATTGTGCTCATATTTATACCATTTTTGCGTTGCTTTGCAGTAAAAAAAACAATAATTATTATGTATTTATATAATTAGTATTAGTGACACTAGTATTCACCTGATGGAATTCGCTGCAATAACACTTGAACAGGTATTCATCAATCTGTTTGGGCTCAGAATTGTTGATTTTGATTAGTTAGCATTGCTAATAAATAATAATCGCCAATCAATCAATCAATCAATCAATCGCTATGGCCACCGCTATGGCCACCTGGACCAATTTGTAAAACCATGAGCTAAACCACATTTGAGTTATTTAACAGCCCTCTACTGGCTACAAATGGAAACTTAGTCTACGTTTACACTGGCACAAAAAATCTGTTTTTTTATGTGACACAGATCGTAAACATAAAAATCTGCACAAGATCCGATTTTTCGCATCCATTCTGAGTCACTTCCATATGAGGTTTTAAATCCGATATCTGAACATCTGACCTACGTCTATACATGTAAATCCCATTGAAATTCCAAACGAGGTGAAGTGGAGGGATCAGCTTCCAGACCTTAATCATATCTTTCAAGTTGCCGTAGCCAAACACCTCCATGACCAGTGGCTTTACTCACTGTGGGCGTCAGAGGACAGCTGACAAAGACAAAAAATAATCACAAGCAGATGTCAATGGTTAATACAAAGTTATATGTAAAACACATTTTAATTTAATCATTAACAAAATACATGACCGAATAAACAATGGTCCTACATTCCATTTAACAATGTTATAAAGAAATAAACACAAATGCCTCTTTTAACTCCACCTGTTATGAATGCTGCTGGCAATTCGATCCACTCCCAGGAAATATGCAGACCGCAAAATGGCACCAAGATTCATCGGATCCTGCACTCCATCCAAAACCAGCCATAATGCCCTGTGATTCTTCACCTCATGAGATGTTATTGTTTTTTCCTCAGTGATAAACCCAAGGGGACTAGCCTGCAGACACAACCCCTGGTGCACCTTACCACCACACAATCTTATCAAGTGTTTGCTTACTGACTCTCTGTATCTGCACGCCCCGTTTGACAGACTCCTGACAGACCCTCAAAACTGTGTCTCTCTGCGGCCCTTCACTGTTCTTCATGAAGAGACGACTCGGCTTCCTCCTACTTTGCATGAGGGCCAGCAAACATGAGGCCACGCCAAACACAATCTCTAAGTGTTTATCTTCATTTGGCTCAGATTCTTTTTGGATAAATCCATCCGCTTTCTGACTCACTCCGATGACACGTTTCCCTTCTATGTTGTTGTTGTTGATCTGGAAATCTCATCTCTAGTAGCAGCATATTTATGCTGCTTAGACACAAATGTCTTTTTGAGTTTGCTAGAGGTAAATCTCTCACCTGATCTTGAAACACTGTCTCTTGGACAGAAAAGTGCTCTTGTGCAGCTATAGGCTGCACGTTGTGTGAAAGGTGTAAAATATAATTCCTTTAGCCCTACCAAGCAGCAACTATATCTATTCCTAGTTCGATTGGAGGCTAGGGATACTTGTTTTCCATGCCTGCATATTTGCTTTTAATAACTTGCTCATATATGCCTCAATAAACAGCTTAAACCATCTTGAGGTGGTTTGCTGGTTTTTGCTGGCCTAAACCAATCAAGTTACACGGTTATAAAGCCGTTTTGGGCACTTGTCAGCTGGTCAGGTTGGACTGACTGACAAGCAAAATCAGCTGAACACCAGTTGGGAAACAAGAAAAGAGAAGAAAATTTGGTTTAAAAAGTTCATTTCAACGCTTTATGTTGCTTTAACAGATTATTCGTTATTTCTTTAAAAAAAAATGAAATTATTAATGAACAAATAGTGTTGAAGCTGCTGCTAACCAAAAGGCTATGGTGCCCTTCAGAATTAAAGCACCAGCAGCAACACTGTATGCTCACTGAATAAAGCAGGATTTTAAATATTAGCCAAGTAAAATGGGATATATGATATAAAAAGAACCGACCTCACGCATATCTAATCCACTATATTCGTTTTTCAACAACAAACACAACCACGTGGAACAGCTTTCAGTTCACTGGCAGTGGTCAAATGCGATGGGTTGCCAGGTTTTCACAAGAAAACCCGCCCAATTGCTACTCAAAACTAGCTTAAAACTAGCCCAATCGCGTTTCGAGGGGTCCCCTGTTAAAAACCGCGTTGCGGAGGGTAAAATACACGTTTTTTGGCGGGGTTCCCCTGCTAAAATTCGCATTATATAATGTTATTGGAGTCGCTTCAACCCCCGGACATGAAAAACAACCCGCGGGCCGCGGCAACAGTGTTAAAGTAACCCAATTCCGCGGGGAAACCGCGGACTTGGCAACACTTATGTGAACGTGAAGCGAGGAGTGTGTTTACTATCACTTCCGCTCCCAGATCAGCTAGAGTAATCGGCCCCGTTTCTGTGGTACTGAGTCAAGAGCAACTCTAGCTGATTTGAGAACAGGGTATTTATATCCGCACCGAGCATGCGCATGATTGACTTCCGGCTGCTTCCGGTAACGTTAGTGTGTTACTATGCAACGAGACGCTCTGATGTGTAGTATTAACTTTCTACCGGAGCATTGCATTAAGAAGTAAATCAGTCAAAGCTGCTTATCTTTATTCATGCTTGGTGTGCGTTTTTTAATAGTCAACCGATGCAAATGATACACTAAAGCTAAAGACTTCTATCTTTTGAGGCCGAGTGTTAGATATGGCCGACGGCTGGTGCACTGACACCGGAGAATCGTTTTACCGTTCCCGGGATGCAGTTAAAAACTTACGAATACGGTAAGTGACGTCGCCTGAGTGTACTTGACATCTATAATAATAGTGTACACACTATTAAATGCACCAAATGTCTTTACCATGTCTAGTACCATGGTATTCTCAGAAACAACTTGTAGCACAATGTATAACGCTATACTATTGTTTACGAATTTCAGTTCCATGATATAAATATTAAAGTACCATAGTATGCTCCTCTTACACATAAGTGCACCATGATACTGCCATACTACTTTTTGTAAAGGTCTCTTTACCATGATTCTGAATGATTTGACCAAATCCATGTACCCACTGTATTTACTGTACATGACACTTTAAGTCACTAAATATAATACAATTGCTATATGCCCAAAAACAACATGTATTACATATTACTGTTACTGTTTTGTTTCTGTTTTAGAGTGCACATACAGCGTGTGACCTCCACAGCTGCTCTGTCTCAACATCTCCATCAGCAAGTGCTTTCTCAGCAGGAGAGAGGAGTTATAGAGCTGGACACCTTCAGCTCTCAGACACAAGCAGCTTCCAGTACGTGAAGGATGCTGATATAAACCTGTCAGCACAATTCACTAGCATATGGTGGATAATAATGTTCTCTTTCTCTTTCTAACACAGCCACTGATGCGGAGGAACTGGTGGTTGGTTGGCAAGAGAAGGTCTTTAGTCAGGTAGGCCACTAGTGAGGGCAAAGCTGTGTGCGCTACTAAATTAAGGTGACCAGATTTCAAAAATGGAAACTGGGGACATTTCCTATTTAAGTGGTCAAAATATCATTGAAATCTCACTTGTTATTATCTAAGAATAAAAAATTATTTGTAAAAATGGGGACAATACAATGTTTTTGTTTAATTGTTGTGGGTTCCCTGTGCTTTTATTAATATTAATAATTATTATGTTAGGTTGATTGTTATGATTTTTGGACTGGTTTTAATACACCAAAAATCACACTATGCAAATAGTTATAGTAACCATTGTGAATGGCAAGCATTGCAAAACAAAGTGAAAGTGAATATTATATTATAACAATATTATAACAAAATTCTGACTTTACAAAAACACATTATATAAGAACATATGATAAATAAATATTTTAAACATTTTCTAATTGTACGGTACTTAATACTTTCATTTACTTTCATTAACTTTTCAAATGGTATTTTATGTTTGTGCTTGGAAATGACTCTTACTCTCCTTAATTAGGCTTATTATTTTGCATTTTAGACTCGTTTTGAGCACAACGTATGTGTTTTCTGCAAATGTAATTGTTGCAGGTGTTAATGTTTAGCTGTTTTTTTTTTTTTGTCTCTTTTGGGCATTGATAATAATAGTGCTCTGCTCTCAACAAGGTTAAGTTCTTCTTGACTGAAGTAGCAGCGCATGACAAGTAATCAGTGTAGTTTGCAGCCAAATTTAGTGGTGAAAAGAATCACTACATGATTGCTCTGATAACCTGCTGGCTATGTTGGTCAGGCATTTTTGCATTGTATCTGTGGGCTGTTTTGAACATGCTCTAAAACTGGAACAGCTCCAGTCAAGGGCAAAACACCAAAAACTGGGACTGTCCCCAGGAAACGAGCACATCTGGTCACCCTATACTAAGTTCTGCTTTGTCATTCACATGCAGTATGAAGTGGATCTTTACCAAACAGAGTCAAATTAAACATTTTCTAATTGTACGGTACTTAATACTTTCATTTACTTTCATTAACTTTTCAAATGGTATTTTATGTTTGTGCTTGGAAATGACTCTTACTCTCCTTAATTAGGCTTATTATTTTGCATTTTAGACTCGTTTTGAGCACAACGTATGTGTTTTCTGCAAATGTAATTGTTGCAGGTGTTAATGTTTAGCTGTTTTTTTTTTTTTGTCTCTTTTGGGCATTGATAATAATAGTGCTCTGCTCTCAACAAGGTTAAGTTCTTCTTGACTGAAGTAGCAGCGCATGACAAGTAATCAGTGTAGTTTGCAGCCAAATTTATTGGTGAAAATAATCACTACATGATTGCTCTGATAACCTGCTGGCTATGTGGGTCAGGCATTTTTGCATTGTATCTGTGGGCTGTTTTGAACATGCTTTAAAACTGGAACAGCTCCAGTCAAGGGCAAAACACCAAAAACTGGGACTGTCCCCAGGAAACGAGCACATCTGGTCACCCTATACTAAATAGTCCGTTTTCATAGTGTATCTGATGAGTTCTGCTTTGTCGTTCACATGCAGTATGAAGTGGATCTTTACCAAACAGAGTCAAATTGTCAAACACCACTGGAGCGTCAGTATCACACAGAAATCATGGCAATGGAAAGATCCAAAAGAAGACAAAACCAGCGCATTTTCACCTACACAGACTTTGATCGCTTCTCTAAATGGGAAGAGGTCGGTTGACTCTACCATTTTCTTTTTTAAACCTGACAAAAACATACCCAGGTCATATTTCATGACAAAATCAAAAGAACAAAATAAGACATTTTATTTTGCATAAAGAAAATCAAACATAATTTTAGGACCATTAAAGGGATATTCCACCCAAAAATGAAAATTCTGTCATCATTTGCTCACCTCCGTGTCATTCCAAACCTGTAAGCATTTATTTCTTCTGCTGAACTCAAAAAATTATATTTTGAAGAATGCTAATCAAACAGTTTCAGTTCCCAATGAATTGCTTTGTATTATTTTTGTCGATATAATGAAAGTCAATTGGAATGGAATAGGTTTTCCCGCCAAAAGAGAATGTGAGAAATTAAGAATTGTCATGAAAATATCACAATACAGAATCTTAATATTTCAAAATTAGGCTTCATTTTCTTTAAGCTAATTAAAATTTCTTGTTAATTTATTTAATAAATAATGATTTGGTGTTAGATATGACCCAGACATGGTTTCGACAGGTTTGGTGAGATTCACCAATGGATGTATAGGCTGCATGTGTTTTTACAGTTTTCTGAAGTTGTGATTGTATTGACAGCAAGCTCAGAGTCTGCTGATCCCAGCTCAGCCTACACCAACCTTTTTAGCAGAACGCATGGCCAATGTTAGGCACAGGAGACAAGAGAGACGTCCTGTGTAAGTGTACCTAGAAGTATATAGTATAGTTGCCTGTAAGGTGGTTTTCTGTAAAGCCTTTATCATGTATATGTAAAGTTAAGGAGGTTTACCTTGTATTATTTTTTTATACACACAATTAAGAGAGTCTAATGTTCCCAAGTCCCATTTAATCACATGGGAGCCTTCGGAGGAGTTCATAAAGAACAGTCACATCATCAACACACCAGTGCAGACCATGTACATCATGGGAGATCTTGGGCCTTCAGGGAAGTAAGTGTGATGATACTCTTCTTTATCCACTTAAACATATCATACATTTTCTTATCATTTATTTGACCGTAGGTCCATTAATAATGCATTTGAAGTTTTTTGTTTTTTTTTACACCAAAAAAGGTATTTTTTTGTAGTTTTATATCACCATTTTCCACTCTCTATCTTACCTACAAAATTAAACTGACATTTTTGTTGCTGCATCTTTAAGACTTCTAGGTAAATAATCTACACAAATGTTACAAACACTGTTATTTCAAAAATACAAAGAAAAATAAGATTTTTTTATGACATGACCCATTTAAAGTAATGTGAAATAACCAGACATGTGGCTGTGTTTTACAGGTTGGGCTTGAAAGAGAATGAATATGTATTATGCACCATAAAAGCTGACAGTAATGGAGTAATCACAATAAAACCAGACTTTAACAACAATAGAGGAGCCTACAGGCAAGACCTACCATTTCTGTCAATTTCTCTTGTGAATAATATTGGGACGAGTTCATTGTGATTACAGAAGGTGTATTTGACTGTCTTTCACACCAGGCTGGAAACGCAGGGAGAGAAGAGGGAGGTGTGGAGGCTGTACCTGGAGAACGCCTCATCACACATTCATGCGGAGGAGAAAGAGAGAGAGCAGCGCATGTACAGAGATGTATGTCCCTTTGTCCTTGCCTAGGATTGGTGGTTTCACTGTCTCACTCACTGACTGAGTGAGTACCTTCTAAGGCAGCATCCTGACACGGAATCTCATAAAGGATGGATTAGAAACATTTGTGACCCTGGACCACAAAACCAGTCTCAAGTCGCTGGGGTATATTTGTAGCAATAGCGAAAAATACATTGTATGGGTCAAAATGATTGATTTTTCTTGTATGCCAAAATCATAAGGATATTAAGTAAAGATCATGTTCCATGAAGATATTTTGTAAGTTTCCTACCGTATTATCTCAAAACTTAATTTTTGATCGGTAATATTTATTTCTAAGGACTTCATTTAGACAGATTTTCTCAATATTTAGATATTTTTTGCACCCTCAGATTCCAGATTTTCAAATAGTTGTATGTCGACCAAATATTGTCCTATGCTAACAAACCATAAATCAATGGAAAGGTTATTTATTCAGCTTTCAGATGATGTATAAATCTCAATTTTGAAAAATTGACCCTTATGACTGTTTTTTTTAGTTTATTCGGTTTATGGTTTATATTTTTGGTTTATTATTTTGGTATACATTTATTCACGCTACACAAATAGCACTCACTTGCTGTTATTTCACAAAATATATCACAAACACTTGATAATTTTTTTTAAATTAAATTTTCACTGTTTTCTATTGATACTTTGCAGCACTGAATATAATAATTTAATGTAAAATGTAAAACTATGTCGGCGCCTATAGCCTTGCCCTTGTGGACATACAGCACTGTTGCGCCACGGGCGTCCCGAGTTCAAATCACGACTCGATGACCTTTCCTGATCCCGCCCCCTTCGCTTCCTGTCAGCTCTGATCTGTCCTATCATACTAAAGGCAAAATGCCAAAAAATTGCCATATGTGCAAAGGACATACATGATATTTTATGTCATGGACAAACAAGGTGTTTTTTTAGGCAGAAAAAATAAGCTAAAATAAGCTCTTTTTTTAAACAAACTCTGTTTATCCAGAGCATCTTAAACTGCACGGACAATGTCCCTGGAGCAATATGGAATTCTTTGGCTGGCCCATGGCTTACTGGTGGATTGCTGACCATTTTCTGGTGGAGTCATCATTCTCACGCATTCTTTCTTTTTTTTTTTTAGCTGTACACACGTCACAAAGACTACCTCAACAGCCTGGTTGGCCAAGACTTTGAAATGGTAAGAATTGCAATTCTTATCCAGACTTATGGTGTCATACATATATTCCAAATAAAAAAGGTGACATTTTCATCCTGATTGTCCAAACACTTCCTTTAGCCACCTCTAGGGATACTTCGCCTGATTGTAAATGGAGAGATTGGTGAGTATTAACAGTTATCCTGTATCATAAAGATTAGCCTAGATTTACTGTGGGCAAAGCAGTATAACATCAATACATTAAATGCATGCTTACATTTCAGTTTTTGCAATATATATATATTTTAGCACAAACTGGGTCTCAGAAGTTACTGCTCACATCATAATGTGTCAGTTTTTCCTTTCAGTTTCTGCTCACTGTATCATAAAGATTAGCCTAGATTTACTGTGGGCAAAGCAGTATAACATCAGTACATTAAATGCATGCTTACATTTCAGTTTTTGCAATATATATATATTTTTTTTAGCACAAACTGGGTCTCAGAAGTTACTGCTCACATCATAATGTGTCAGTTTTTCCTTTCAGTTTCTGCTCGGGGTTATGAGTATGACGATCTTTATGTCCATTTCTTCCTGGATTTACCAAATAGTAAGTCAACCTACTCTCAACCACATACAATGGGAAAAAATAGTTAAGTCTCATTTATAAATGTATGCATGGCATTGCATTTGATTCCAAAAGCAAACCAAGTGGTATTTATTTTACAGAAAAATTTTAAAGAAAGCACAAGTACACTTTTTCAGCAAAAAGCATTAGTTTGCTCATTTTTAAATAGTAAAGTTTTAAATGAAGGCAAAGGTACACATTCTGGTTTTTAAACTAATGAAATGACATTCAGACATTTTAAGCGTGAATTAAGTGGCCAGACATTAGTCATTGTATTTTATGTCAGTAATTGACGTTGTTCCATGTTCTTCAGATTGGTCCAGTGTTCCCTTTCACTGTCTGTCCGGTGTGACTCAGACGTGTCGCACACACAGTGTGGGAAAGGTAAGATGACATTTGATGACAAGATAACATAGTAAACCCGATCAACCGGCTCTGTGTTCATGGAACTGTGGTAAACATGTTCTCTGTTTTATAGGAGGATGTTGCCTTCTTTTCCTATCCATTCAGCTTTGAGACCTTCTTCCATAAGGAAGATGAGTCTGATGGTGAGATCTTTGATTGCCTCAGAATATATGTAACTAATGATTAGAAAAATACATTACACAGACAACGTCCTGAAGATATGAAAATAAATGATCAGTGAATAAACACAGGTGCTGATCATCTCTGCAGGGTCATTACCCCAGTGGCCAGTGCTGTATTTCAAAGTTCTCTCGTTGGATTTCTGGCAGCGCTACAGAACTGAAGGCTATGGCTTCCTGGTCATTCCCTCAACGCCGGGTAGGACAGTCTTTTGTTCTGAAGTATCGCAAATTATAATGTAGTGACATTCATGTCGGATGTTCTCCTGAATCTGTTCTTTTTAATGGTACATAACCAATGCGCAAAGCATTCATTTTGTTTAGTAAATTTTTTTATTTGTTTATGTGGGTGACATAAACATGTGACAGGTTTTTTTAGTTTAATTTACCTGGTAAAAATCATATACAGTATATCATATATATTTCATATTTAAATCATAAATATCAACCATAAACATTTCCACAAACATTCATTTAAATTCATATGTAATTTCCTCAACACCAAGTAGGACAAACAATAAAATGGTTTGTATATCCCAATTTGTAACAAGCTATTTTTAGAGTAAAATTGTGATATGGGTGATATACTGTAACCAAAAAACACATTTTTGTCAAATGTATCTGGTGAACGCATATTCATGGTCTAATTTAGAAACATACCACTATTTTCGGGTAAGTAAGGTTTTATTTTGAAGAAGAAATCAATACTTTTTAGTTCTGTCAAACGATTAATTGCGATTAATCGCAACCAAAATAAAAGTTTTTATTTACATAATATATGTATGTGTACTGTGTTTATTTATTATGTATATATAAATACACACACATACAGTATATGTTTTTAATATATTTACATGTATATACATTTACAGTATATATTTATATTATTATATTTTATATTATATATAAATATGTTTAATATATAAACATAATGTCAGGAAGATGGACTGTCTGTGTTGTGTTTTGTTCCCCATGACCTAGTTTTCCCTCGTGTGTTACATGCCCATATTTGGTTTCCTTCCTGTTCCTGTTCCTATTGTGTTTCATTGAGTCCAGGTTTGTCT